TTGTGTGATTTCGCAACTTGTTTTTTGTATATCGTCACGCTCGTATGCCTCGCAATTATTATTATTATGGTTGTTATTGCTATTATTACTTATTATTATCTTTATTATTGTTATTTTATTATTATTATTATTGTTATTACTATTATTATTATTATTATTATTATTATTATTATTATTATTATTATTATTTTGTGTCGTTATTCTGATTGTTATCATTAGTCATCATACAGAGTCAGAGAAGGAGAGTATGGGGCATTGGAGAGGAGGGAGAAGCTATCATGGTGCTCACCTCCTCCATCCTCCTCCATACTTCTCTTTGTGCGGTCTTCCCAGATGCCTGCCTCCTTAAATTTTATTATTTGATGAAAAGTTTCTCATTGATTTAATCACGGCCTCAATTAAATCTAAGGGGCCAGCGATCAGTTATATGAGTTATACATATGACCCATAACATGGCGATTGCGGGAGCTCCGCCGGAGTTCAGGCGGAACTTTGGAGGCAGGGAACAACAAGGTACGCTACTTTGACCCAATTGATTGCTTCAGGACATATAGGCTATTATCCATAACAGTGCTCATAAGGGTTAGGGATTCAGGATCAGTATTCCTTCAAGGGCGAAAGGATGGACTGAAGTCCAGGATTGTAAAAAAGTGCGCGTAGAGAAAAGACTGGTTGGGTGAAAACTAATTGTTTCTGATACAACGATCTTGTTATGTGGGTGTTATTTGAGGATGTGGATGCAAAGGGGATCGATTACTCATATTCTTCTCTCTATGTGTCGCCTAATGATGATGGGTATTTGTTGGTTCAACTTGTTGTGATTGAATGCAACGATGATGGTCCATGTCATTTATTTCTTGTCATACGCCTGATCCAAGCATAAGTCCTCGAAACTGACAACGGTTCAAGGCGAGTGTCATCAAAGGCGATAACTTGATCCGTCGATAAGACTTGTGTGGATGTAAGAATAGCAGGGAAAACCTGCCTTAACTCCGATGAGCCTTACGCTTGGTAAGGTGTAAGAGCAAAGATCCTTGGACACCAGCCTTATTGAGGGCAAGCCAGTGATAAGAGTAGCAGGGAAATCCTGCCTTATCAATGACTAGTCTGCTATAAGAGTAGTGAGGTTTCAAAGACACCTGCCTTATCATTAACCAATCCAACGTTCTTTTAAGTGGTAAGAGTGACAAGGATCCTTGGACACCCGCCTTATTGAGGGCTAGCCAATGATAAGAGTAGCAGGGAAATCCTGCCTTATCAGTGACTAGTCTGATATAAGAGTAGCAAGGTTTCACGGACACCTGGCTTATAATTAATCAACCTAACATTCATTCAGTGGTAAGAGTAACAAGGATCATTGGATACCCGCCTTATAGAGGGCTAGCCAGTGATAAGAGTAGCAGGGAAATCCTGCCTTATCAGTGACTAGTCTGATATAAGAGTAACGAGGTTTCAAGGACACCTGCCTTATCAGTAAACATCCTAGCACTTAGTCAGTGATAAGAGTAACAAGGATTCTTGGACACCCGCCTTATTGAGGGCTAGCCAGTGATAAGAGTACCAGGGAAATCCTACCTTATCAGTGACTAGTCTGATATAAGAGTAGTGAGGTTTCAAGGACACCTGTCTTATCAGTGGCTAGCCATAGGATAAGCCTACCGCTAAATGTACTTTGGCACACAAGGGTCAAGACCCACAAAATTTGCCTTTGTTAAACAAGCTCCAGTAACAAGTGGATATATCTTGAATGATCTGCCATGCCACCGCTAACTTTCTCCACACTCAGCATTATTCGATCCTAACTAATTACCTCTGATTCTACCAAGAGAGAATAAGTGAGATCTTGCCTCAGAGAGAGACTATCCATTGGTCTGGATTCTTTCCGTAAGATTCTTTTCCACGGGTTGGATTGATGATGCATTCAGATGTGTTGGGAGAAGGAAGGAACTCAGATAGGATAATCCCAAAAGGAATAGGAATGAGATAATGAAGGGGATATGGAGATTTTTTGTGACATTAAAAAGGGGAGTGAACTATTATTCACTATTTGAAAAGGAAGGGCAACAACCCAAACGATTAAATAAGGATAGGAGTCAGACAGAAAACACAGAGTCCAGAAGGAACTTTCTAGATCTCAGTTAGGAAGAGGGATGTTAAGTTTCTCTTGGACTGTGTTGTGTCTACAGGTTTTGACACTTCGGAGAGGACTACGGAGAAAAATCCGTAAGGAAACTGTAAATTTTGTTATCATTGGATAACAGGTCGGTAGAACTCCGACTCAACTTCCACATGGCTTGATACCCACACCTAAGACAAAACCTAAGAAGGGAACAAATAAATCTTCCTCCTGTATCTACACCTAAATTTGTTCAAATCACACTCAGAGGTCTTTGAAAATGTGAAGGGTTGGGGTAAAAGGAGTCAGGTTTAGGAAGGAATGTTGTTTTTAAGGTTTTGGGGTGTGAGTGACTTGCCATGAATGAGTTAAAGGTTGATGCTTGTAGTGCATTCTGTGTCTGCATCTGTATGCGTGTATGTGTTTTCCTTGCATCTGCACAGATGTTGGACGTTGTGTTGTTTTATGGATTTGGGATCACTTGGGATAATCGGACCAGGGGCACAACAATCGTGAAAGTGAGGTCCACCGCTCATTCAGCTCCCCTGATATTACATACATACTTATATATATCTGTGAGTGAGATCGTAGGCTGGTCGGTACCGAGGAAATCATTTGTCTGGGAATTCTCTCGAGAAGAATGAGAGATTACTAATGACTTGACTCTGGCATTTTCATAAGGTCAACAAAGGAAACATAGAGTTATTGTCATAGTTGCTAAGCGTGGAAGATAATCCGAACAAGTCGACGTGATTAGATAGTCGGTCCAAGGAGTTAGCACCTCGGGTACGGCAAACGGATCAGTCTTAAGGCGTTCTACCACGCGTATGCCTATGCTACGGCGATCGAGAAAACGCCATCGGCTGACCTACCTCTGCGATTGCATGTAAAAGCCTTCGCACGTAGGTCAGTAGCTCAGCAGGGATACGCCCACCTAAGGGATGGTGACAACTCCCGTGGGTGGAGGTAATGTTGTACCTCGCGGGATCTCTAACCTGTCGTAGGGAGTCACGAGAGGTATAGCACGCGCGCACGGTCGGAGTTGGTATTGCGTAAAGTAACAAAGAAAACTCTTGTGTGACACGACAGTGAGGTCCGACACAAAACTACTTTGCGACTAGGGTGTGGGACCGTCGCTCGCGACAACGCGCCACCGCTAAGAAGCTGCTGGAGTGCAACCTGTCCTCAGGCTGCTTAATGCTTTCACGTCAACGATCACACGTTGAGTCTCTCACCTTCTCCGTTCTCTCTGTACTTCATCTCCTTTGTCTTCATATAGTCCACTTCCCTAGAAGTGTGTGTGTGTGTGTGTGAGAGAGAGAGAGAAAAAGTGAGTTTGTGACTTCTCTCTCTCTCTCTCTCTCTCTCTCTCTCTCTCTCTCTCTCTCTCTCTCTCTCTCTCTCTCTCTCTCTCTCTCTCCGGTAATGCCTATCACAAAGTCATCTGCGTATCGCACATCGCTAAGACGTCGAAAGTTCGCGTCCGCCACTTCGTGCTTGTCGTATTGCTCCTTTAGGATCTTATAAATGTATTTGTCAAATTGATGTACTGGGGTGCTTTCAAAGAATACGTAACGAGGATAGTCTCAAGAGGAATCTGGACCTGGCCATTCGGGCCGGACATGATTTCGGTTCTTGGTCCAATAGGACCCAGAAAGCGACAGCCCTCTCGAGCTGGTTGATGCGTATTGACCGAAATACGTCTATCCACGAGAAAATCCCGGGTCAGGTTATTCTGTTGAAAATGGTCTACGAAAGGAAAGGGTTCCCGGTAGACCTTTTTGTAAAGGTACTGGATGACTTTGCTGTAAAAAGAGGCCCGGTCTGGGGAATGACGACCACCCTGGTTAGATGTTTTGCAGGCAGGGCTTAGGATTAGCTTGTAGGTGTATGATTTGTTGTCTGTACGTACTCTGAGGTAGGAACTATAAATAGTCGGCGTTTTATTTGTTTGTCGCTTTCGGCCGATACCCTCAGCTAGCGCTATGCGTTAGCTGGAGGAGCAGCCGCCTGTTTTGTATGCGGAATGAACGGAGGTTTTTGGGGATGTGGTTAGTTGGCGGAGGCGACGGGATATGACGTTTATGATGTTAATATTTCCAATCAGGTTTCCCGCTACGCGGGTCTTTTTATCTGTTGTTGTCATCTTCTATTGACTACGTACTCACGCGTTTTGCGTGGGGTGTGTTTGGACCTTTGCCCTTGCGCAAACACTTAATAATCGACGGAGGGTGGCTACTCCGACTTGGTGGTTAAGACTTTGACCGGTGAAAAGTGAGAAGTTGCGATCTAAGAGTTATTTGTCGGAGACCGTTTGAAGAGCTGCTTCGAGCAATTCGAAACGAATTTGAGAAGCGGCTTGTGCTTTCTCGCGGTGTGATGACGTTTACTAGCCAGCAGCCACCGAAGGATGAGGAAGGAGGAGGTGGTCAATCTGGGCGTAGGAACGTGCCGCAAGGTTACTCGTGTAAACACTACGGGCACTACGCAAGGGATTGCGGTATGTACTGGAAAGAGGAGAAGGAGAAGGCGGATAAACGACGACAAGAGGCGGAGGATGTACCTAAGGAGCGATCAACAGTCTACCAACCTCAACGAGCGAGATCCACGTCGCCTCGTCACAGCCGATGGGAACCTCCAAGGAGGTCTCTCTCAGCGGACCGGTAGTCGCTTGGAAGGAATCAAGGATCCTGCTGCAGATATGGTGGCCATGTTGCTGGCCAAAGAGGAAGCTAAGGAGAAGAAACGTTAGGAAAAGGAAGAACGCAAGAAGAAGAAGCAAGAGGAGCAGGAGAAGGCTGCGAGAGAGGAGAGAAGACGCGAAAGGAAGGAGCGTGAACAAATGAAGAACGACCTGAGAATCGTGAGAATCATTGATATGCAGGTGTTGAGAAGGTGGGGAGGTGTGCGGCAGGTTCAGGATCAGGAGAACCGCCGAGAGCGGAGGAAACGAGCCACTACAGTTAAGCGGGAGCTACAGCAATGGTTGGCACCTAGTGACTCGGATACTGACCAGGACATGACGGCCATCAGCAACGGAACGGAAAGACTGGACATACATTCGAAGACATCGGATGAGGAGGTCCCAACTCCAAGATCGGCACCCCTGATACGAACGGCTCGAAGAATGTACGGCACCGGACGGAAGCGTGGACGCCCACCGTTGGGTGTCGTACCCCGTAACTTGAACACGAAAATCACCCCTGGGAACGACCCGGATGCTAGAGACCGCTACGTGAAGGATATGATTGAGCAACTCGATGCGCTGGACTATAAAGAGATAAAGGTGATCAGCAAATGGGAGGGTGTTGTGTACGTGCGAAAGAATCAAGCGATCGCCTCTTTAGCCGAACGACGCGTGGCAAGAAACTTTGGTAAGGCTAGACTTCCTACCCCGCAAGTCGTAGCCGAAAGCGGCTCTGATTCCGACTCGTCATCGGATGTATCTAAAGAGGATAGCGATAGCGATGCATGAGGAGTATGACCGACTAAACGTTTGTGGGCTATTTGTCGCGATCTCGTACGACAACGGAAAAATTGTGTAGGCGTGGACAGTGCTACCGAGGCTAGTTACAGATGGATTATGTTTGCTTTGACAATTCGGGGTTGTATTTCGTGGGGGAAGAAATTTGTGAAGGATTGGAAGAGTTGGTGTCTGAAGAATGACAAGGACCTGGAAGACGTTGGGGGTTGTGTGTATGTGGCTATTTTGCCGTATTGTAAGGCGGCTTACATCGAAAAAATCGAGAGGCACCTGGATGTTAGATGGAGGGAGCACCACGGGAAATGTATGCGTGAGGGGACGGGTACACATTTCCATCGATGGATGCGCACCTATGGAAGGGAAAGCTATGTATTGCTCCCCTTAGCTGGCGGTAGACCAGACGAGCTAACCAGTATTGAGAACTTTTATATTAAGCACTGATCTCCTGTTTTGAACACTATGGGCCGTGGACTGACCAGCACCCGACGTCAACGGAAAGGAAAACGGGAGAGGCGGAGGAGAGGTGGGGAGACCAATGTCGAAGCTTTGGAGGTTAAATGCATTAGGTTCAGTATCAATAATCACAGTACTACCACGAATCTGATTAGTACTCTTTTGGCAAAGGATGAGAAGGAGGAGAGGGAGTTTGTTCTGACATCGACAGGTGGAAATGTGTGGGTTGAAGGATGGAAATGGGTAAAAAGATGGTTTGGGGAGACCCGGGTCAGGGTGGAAGGGAAGAGTTGTCGTCTAAGGGAATTTAGGAAGGTGCTGGAGAATGGAAATACGATCGTAGTTGAGCATCTTCAGAACTGGCGGTGAAATAATGAAAGGGGGAGGCGCTATTTGATTTCTCTGCTTAAATCCAAAATAAAGCGCCCTACCGCTGCGCGCTGCGATTTGCATTTCCTAGTTGGATTGTTCCCGGTGAAAGGATTTCACTAGGAAGAGCACGAGATCCCTACTCAGACGGATTGTCAACACTGCCATTAGAGACGGGTATGGCCTTGAGCTACAGAAGAAGTTAGTAGTACGTGTGCAATATGACGATCAAATTAGCCTAGGAGGGGTTCGAAGGGTGTTGGACGGTAAGATTGACGATCTGTCTCTCCCCGAATGTGTACGTGCGACTCTAAAGCAAAAGATTAGGACGGTTTGGACGCAAAATCCTTCCGTCGCTAATATTTTGCATAATCACAGGCACCATGCACGCCGTGATGTTGCTCTTTGCACTTGTGTAAACATGCCGCTTCCTCGGTTTCACGCGCATGTTCGCTTTCGAATCTGGGAGGACTCCCGGGTTTCCACCCTTGTCCACAACGCCTGCAACGTTCCACGATCCACTAGACCGGGTACGATGGATTCGTTGTGTAAGGAGTTGGAGGAGTCATGCAAAACATGGAAGCTGGGGGGTTGTGATGCGTTGGGTTTTTCAAGGAAGGAGGTGAAGTCTTGGTTCAAACTGCCACGTAGAGGTACGGAGGATCTACTGGTTGAGGATGTGTACCGGGTGAAAGAACCGTACAAAGGGCTGGTTTTAGCCACTGTGGATCGTAATCCCGGTCAGACGGTCGTGATGTGTCCCAGGCTATACTACGAGGCGAATCAGGAACTGTTTGTACGTAGTGCAGGGTATGTAGCGCAGAGAAGGATGGAGAAGGAGGTCCTGGAGGAAGAAAGACGGGAGTATCAGGAGAGGGATATGCAACGTTTGGGGAAGTGGATAGTGAAAGGCAACATAGGAAAAGGATATGTGATCCCCAAGCACAAAGACTTGGAGCGCTTCCGCCCGATATGTCTGACTTTCAGTGAGCCGTGCGCGCCAACTTGTCGAAAGGTAGCGAAGGGCCTAAATTGCCTTTTGAACACGATTCCTGTTAATCAGCATTTCAATCTGAAATCTGTCGGTGACTTGGAGGGACGCCTGGATAAGATTAATCGAGTGGTTGAAAAGAAGGGTAGGAACGTCGCGATTTTGGGGGCGTCATTTGATATTAAGGATATGTTTTCACGCCTCCCTCATGACGCTATACTCTCTGGCCTCGATTGGCTGCTGGATCGACATCTGCAAAAAGGAAGGAACTGTGTCTGGGTGAACCCAAGGGGACGAGGTGCTTCAGTATATGGTGGAGCCGGTGATTGGGGTTGGTATAAGATCTCATTCGATGATCTGAGGAGCTTTGTGGAGTTTAATCTGAATCACACCTACACCATAAACTCTGGCATTTTGTTGAAGCAAACCCTGGGGATACCTATGGGGAGCAGTACCAGTCCCCCTCTAGCATGTATTTTGTGTGCTCACGCGGAATGGACCTTTCTTGAGTCACTTGGTGGGAGACGCAATCGGGTTTATGGCATTCGATTGATGGATGACGTGTCGTTCTTCTGTACGTATAGGTTGGATGATGTTGTCTCTCTGGCTACCGCTGTGGAGATCCGGGAGGTGTTTCAAACCAGTTACCTCCGTACATTGTCCCTTGTTCGTACGGACAATGGAACCGGGGTTTGGAAATTCCTTGGCTGCCACTTCGAGGTTCGGAAACAACAGCCTGTACTGTGGTGCTTTCAAATAGTACTTAACGAGGATAGCCTCAAGAGGAATCTGGACCTGGTCATTCGGGTCGGACATGATTTCGGTTCTTGGTTCAAGAGGACCTAGAAAGCGGCAGCCATCTCGGGCTGGTTGATGCGTATTGACCGAAATACGTCTATCAGCGAGAAAATCCCAGGTCAGGTTATTCTGTTGAAAATGGCCTATGAAAGGAAAGGGTTCTCGGTAGACCTTTTTGTAAAGGTACTGGATAACTTTGCTGTAAAAAGAGGCCCGGTCTGGGGAATGACGACCAACCTGGTTAGATGTTTTGCAGGTAGGGCTTAGGATTAGCTTGTAGGTGTATGATTTATTGTATGTACGTACTCTGAGGTAGAAACCATAAATAGTCGGCGTTCTATTTGTTTGTCCTCTCACAGCAGACTCGCTTTCGGCCGATACCCTGAGCTAGCGCTATGCGTTAGCTGGAGGAGCGACCGCCTTTTTTGTATGTGGAATGAACGGAGGTTCTTGGGGATGTGGTCAGTTGGCGGAGGCGACGGGATATGACGTTTATGATGTTAATATTTCCAATCGGGTTTCCCGCTACGCGGATCTTTTTATTTGTTGTTGTCATCTTCTATTGACTACGTGCGCACGCGTTTTGCGTGTGGTGTGTTTGGACCTTTGCCCTTGCCCCAATTGATGTAACGAACAAAAAAAGTACCTAAAAGACTAAATAAAAAAGTAACAATATTTAGAAAGAAGGTTCAAGAATTCAACCGAAATTAAATGACTGAATGAATACAAGCTGTAGCTAATACCCAAGGCATCAAAGATGCATTTTCTACGGGATCCCAAAACCACCAACCGCCCCAACCTAGC